CCGCCCAGTCTTGCAAGACCTACCACGCTGCGAGTCGAAGCTATCGAAGCATCATCGCCCTGGGGCCGCTTGCGGGAGGGTGCAACTTCACATACATGAGAGGGATGTCTACCAGTCCCTCGCGAGGGGAACGGGCGACAGTCATTTCCCGCCGCTGACCGCGGAAGGATGCGCTTTCCCCACCGGAAGAGCTTCAATCTCAATGATGCAGGCCAGGAGGCGGCGAGAAGGGACTTGTGGGATCGTGCCGGAATTCGTATCTGCGGCCGCGAACGGGATTTGCGTGATGTAGGTGATCCTTAGGCATCCGCAGTCAACGCGAACGCCGCGCTGCAGTATACCGTCTTCCGAAGCAATTCAGTGGCAATCGCCGAGATACCACTGTCGCTCACCTCGTCTTTGCTATCCTCGTCTATGATATCATTCGCGCTTAGCGCTGATGGCCCAGTAGCGCTAGCACTTCACCTAACATCGTCGTTGTGACCATCGCCATTGTCTCACCCGATCTCTTATTTCTACATCACTGTAATATCTCTCTGTGCTATGTTACGCCTGTGCTCTTCTCATGACGGACTGCCCCGTCGTCTTTTCCGACAGGCACGTCCGTGCCTGTGCTCCCAGTAGTCGCGAAGCCTTCCGTTCCTTACCCAACTAGTCTCTCATGTTGGTAGGTGCAATCTTGCCGAATGCATCTCAAACCGCATATGCGCACGAAGCTGGGTATCTAGATCTGATAGTACGCAGGCGACTGTTCCAACACAATATCCAAGAGAGAGAGTCATTAAGCCGGAAACGATGGAGTCTTGCTAAGGACCTCTCGCTTCAGGTAGGCTATAAACGCCTGATCGTCGCCCGCATTCGAGAGTATCTTGGCTCGCAGGGTGACCAATCCAGGCTTCGTCATGTTGCGGCTGGGGTGCCTGTAAGTCACGTATTCACGATGTGCTTGCTCTCTGTAATCTCATTAGTTGGGAGAGAGAGGAACCTTGTGCGATGCACGCACAAATGATTAAGTAACTCTTGTGGCTTGAATAAAGACTCTCGCCGTTTACATTGACCGGGCTCATCGATTGGACATGAAAGGGTTCTCTCCGTGCTCTGGTTCAGCTTGCCTTCACGCACCCGTTTGGCCCGCTTATGACGAAGATCTGTGCGCGTTTCTGCACGGTCAGAGCGCTTCGATGGCACGATCGCGGGCGAGACATCTTCCGATACACGTCGAAGTGGGATTGAAGACTTCGGGTCCTGCGCATCGGTGTTTCCACGATCGGCATACTTACGCGTCGTACTAAGAGACGATTCCCCCAGCATCGCGGCGTCGCTCATGTGCGTATCCATGCCGGGAGCATCGTACGTCGTTTGCTTATCGGCTTGTTGGCCAGTGTCTAACGAATATGTAAGCACAAAACTGTTCCAGGGGATCCGCTATCGAAACAAACCAGTTTGAACAGGGACCTGCAGATAGCGAGGCGCTGCCGAATATTGCGACACCCAGGGGTCGGAGGCGGGATCAAGGCGTGCACGACTGTACTCATCAGTCTGCGATCGCACAAAATACCACCAACACATCTGAGCCAATTGTAGAACATCTTCTGCATCGCGGTCCCCGCTTTCGAGCCGATGCTGGCGTAATTCTTCGCCGATCTGGTACGAGAACAATATATTAACGGGACTCAGAAAGTCAACGGCGATTTTGACGCAAGATGATAGATTCGTGACCTGCTAATATGTAAGTCAGGAATATGCATGACCTAGCGCTGCGATCTCACCTGGTGGCCTACACCCGCTGGGATAAATACAGAGTCGCCGGGTTTCTGTACAAACGTCCAGACGTGTACTTTGTGGTCCCGAAGACGAGTAACGTCTTCTTCGGTGACGAAGATCTCTTGGGAGTGTATAGGATGTCCGGTGAATTGGCCTGCCTTCCAATCTTTCAATAGGCTCGCAGCCAATGCCATATGGTCTCGATTAATCATCGTCCATAAGGCACCGTCCTCCGTGTCATGCTTTGACCGTTGCGAACGGAACATGGTGTTGACGGCGTCCGTCACGTCGCAGTGTAACCGGGTAGTGGTTCCCCCAGCCCCTGCGTGAGCAATGTACGCCTTCGGCCCTACAAGCGGTCAGTGCTTATGAAATATGTGGGGCAGAGCAGCGTACCCGTATCAGGCGGGCATGAGCCGGCCGGCATACTTGTCTCTAGATTCAACGCCCCGTACTTCGACGTCAAAACGGGGCCGACTAGAGTATCCTCAAATATCTCAAACATATCCGGGAAAGCCGCCTCGAAGCCTCTCGTTGGTGGCCAATCCTGAGAGAGCAATGAGTATCAGCGCATAGGCGGAGCACAAAGGGCTCACCTTGAGCTTCTCTGGTTCAACGTCGGCAGATGGGGTAGTAAAGCTATGCATATACTCTCTCAGCATGAGAGTCCTGTCAGCACCGGTATTCGTGTTGGTGACTGTGACCATCTCGTCGCCATGCCGCGAGATGAAGAACTCCGGCGTCAGGTTGGTCTCGCCCGGATCGATCCCAGAAACGACAACAGGCGTTCCTGTAGCAAGCGCTTGATACAGCATTGAGTAGGAGGGTGGCCCAGCCCCATGCGAGAGCGTAACCTTGATGAGTTCTGCGCCCGGGGGGCTTGGAAGGCGCTGTCTGGAACAATGTGAATACTTCGTAGCGCACCGCGCAGACTACCACATACGGTGACGGGGTCGATCTAAGTTTCCTAAGAGCATCCTCCAGTTGATCGGGTTGGAAGCACTCGATGAGAGCGAAATCGTGCACGTGCGAGCCTGAGTTGGCGATGCAGAAGCAATCGTACTAGAGCAGTTCAGTCGCGTTGCAGAGCAGGGAATTCTCAAGACCTACTATGTTTTCCCGCACGCAGGCCTCGCAGAGCTCGATGCCACAAAGCCTACAGAGCCGAACCCCACAAAGACAGGACATGCGACAATGATCTATGAACCGTGTTGTCAGACAGGTAGACACATTCGATACCAGTACGCACCGCAGTAAAGACGATCGCCATTCAATTGTGGCGTCCTCATGATTGTTGAAGCGCATAAACTTCGCAGAGCGGAGTGACCCTCCAATTTAGGAATCAGGACTTCAGGGAGAGCCCTCTACGCCAGTGAGTCAAGCGTCGCCAACATCTCTGCCAGCTTACCAGACAAATGTCTCTCATCTCGCTCGTCAATTGCGTAGGGGTTGGCTTGAAGTTCGGTGTGATGGATGCCTTGTGCTCGTACGGCTGAACAGCCAAGATTACATGGTTCGGTCCTGGAGAGACGACGAAGCTCCGCTGTTCGTGTACGACATGTTTAGTCCCCTCTGTTTTCCTCGATTCGTCAGTGAATATGAGCGAATGCAGACGTAATCTTCGGACTCACTGAAGAAACGACATTCCGTGTTTTTTCGTCTCTTCCGCCCTTGGGGGGGATTCTCCGCCATCGCTCTTGCGCAGTCTACACATGGAAGAATCTCACTTCGTACAAGCTTCAGAGCCTCGCTCTGGTGATGCTTTGTTGTCAAAAACTCATCGCAAGTGCTCGTCTGTAGGACAACGATGTTTTTCATCCAGTTCGCAGTAGGAGCGGAAAGTGGTTTCAACCAAGAAGCGTCATCGTCATCGCCAAGTTCTCACACGACATCTACCGATGGCTGCGCCACGGAGTTTCGCCGCCCCGGTCATCGTCAGGTACGTCGCGTATGTGTTGATTTAGCGCCGGAGGCCGACAACAACAATGGTGGTGTAGGAGAGGAAGAGAAGCGAGCGGCGCGAAGACGTTGCATTCGGTCGGTTCGAGCAGTAGGAAGCAAGAGGCTTCGAGGCGCTCACGGTATAACTTAGATGCTGAGACGCAAGGTGTGGAGCAGCGGCTTGAAGAGGGAGACAAAGAGGTGGGATTCCTGACGTATACAGCCAGATGAATGGCGGTTTTGATAGTAGAATGTTCTACTCATTCTACAGTACGATTCTGTAAGATACAAGATGAAATGCAAGAGACAATTGAGTGTAGTACCGGCGAGCTGGGCTGTAGCAGAGCGGGATTTGGGGAGATGAGGAGGAAGAGGAGGGGAAGAGGCGAACAGGGCACCGGATGCGTAAGCTGAAGTCCGTGATGTCAAGACCGAATAGACAGGAGTGAGAATAGAGGAAGGATAGGATGCATGTAGGCTCTGATGCGGCGGACGACCAAAAGGGACTGGGCGGTGGGGAGTAGAACCCGAAGACCGGGATAAGTAATGAAGGCAAATGTCCCCACCTCAAGGCACAGACGAGTCCGTCCAAAACGCGCATAATCCCACAGTACCGCGTGCTACTTAGGGAACAGATCACAAGTCTGCCGAGAGCGTGGGCGTACGTGGAGAGGTTGAGAAGGAGGTGGGAGGGGAAGACGACGCCACAGTGCACACGGGGTCTCGCGTGAGCGGATCATGCGGCGAATGCCAAGTTCTACTAGGCGCAAACGTGCAGGACCTACGAGGAGTAAGCCGGGCAAGGGCAATGAATCCAAGCTTACTTGAAGCTGAAAGGTCTGCCGAAGAGTACTTGTGCCGTGTGTAAGGGCCCGTGCCGCAGAGCAACAAGCAGTAGAAATATAGCGTGTTTACTACAAGCCACATTCGCTGTTCAAAGGGATCCAAGAAAACATCGATAAGACATACATGATGAACCTCAGGGCACCCCAATGGTCTACAACGCGATCGCGACGTACTCGCCAGCTTGACCTATAGGCTATCGCTAGTGGCACAGCACTTTCAGTTTGTGTCATTGGTCTAGACTTCGCATTTCGATCGTATTCTCCACCCAGCCCAGCTTGATGTTCGTTAATCCTGAGCGCCGGCGTAGTGTGATGCGAGCCGGTGAGGCAGAGTGGATCGGGGGAGGCAAGGAGAGAGGATATTATGATAATATCATCGAGGAGGACGACCTCGTGGTAGGAGAGCGGGACGCGCCCAACGCGCGTGAAGAAGACTTAGAGCGAACCACCACCACCACCACTTCTGGCCTCGTTCACCGGTCGGCCAGGGCGCCAAACCACCCGGTCCACCGTTGTTTGCCGCCACATCCGATTCTCACCCGCATGTACAACCCAATACCCCTGGGCCTCGACAGCTTGTCATGACCGTGCGTTTGCTCGAAGTATCAGCACTTTCCTGGCCCTAACTTGTAGCACAGGCCTCGTAGGCCATAAAGGGAGCGCGTTGGAGAAGAGCGTACAGCGTACTCAGGACTGGGTGGGCCGCTTGATGGTCGGAATTACGGTCGATAAGGTGAAACGCGCTGTGATTCTGGAGGGTGAGCACTCCGACTGCTTTGAGTACGTCGAAGATCGGCCGCTGAATCGCGACATTTAAGGTGTATCAGGACGATGCTTGGGTCAAGAGCGAGAAAGCGAAACGGCGTGCGCGGTATTATGGCGGGAGAGTTTCGCAATAAGTTTTCAGCAAGGACGACTTCACGACGACAACATACCTGTCATTATGCGTCACTCGAGCTTAGGCTCCACAATACGGCGGTCGACTTTCGCGCCGGCATTTCATTCCCTCGCCTAGGCTCGGGCGCGCAACGCCCAGGAAACCTGGTTCCTCGCGTATCCGGACTTCGCCGCCCACCCCACTTTTCATGGCGTGCCGAGGTTTTCGCTGCCTTCCCTCCTCTTTGGAGACTTGGCTTAGCATCATCGACCGCGATGCGCCCCATCTGCGGCTACACTCAGCTTTCAGGGAATGTGCGGTCTGAAGACCTTCCATTTCTGAACTGGGTAGGCGCAGTACCTCCGTCAGGATAACTACAAATGCGACACGATAAAGGAAAGGAAGCGGATAGACCTTCACCCTCTCTCTTTGACCCCCCTGTTTCCCTTGTTCATCTATTCATCGCCTCTTGTATATCTTGTCTCGCTCGCGCATGGCGCTTTCGTCATTTGCTACGTCACGATACCATGGGCCCGCTGCGATGTATATTGTCCCTTTCTCACTGGCGTCCGTAAGACGGATACGTCTTGAATTTCTTGCGTGATTCGGCCAACTATTCCTGGACTCACCTGAACTCATTCTTTGACAACCGAGCTTCGCCTTTCCGGTTGCTCATTTCCCACCCGAGCCTTGCTCATGACGTTGACTCAGCGTCAGAACTTTCAGGACACAAGACCTGAAGAATTGTACGAACTCGGTCGTCATCAAGGAATTCTGTTGCCCTCATTCTCGCGCGCTGCAGCAAGGCGGGCGAATGCGCGCTTGATAAGTTGGAGCTGCGGCCGCAAATGCGCCCGTCAAAAGCTTGAACCCACGAGCCTTGAGTATTACAGCCTCAGCCACGTAGCCGCAGAATGCTGATACACGCATCGTTACATCGTATGTACTTGATACGCTACAGATCCGTTGTATCCCTGCGGCTGACGCGCGCTCCCTACCCTGCTTCCTGTGACTAACCTGCGCACCGCTTCGCACCGCTAAGGCTCAGGGCAACGTGCATATAAAGCTCTTGCTGCCTGCCCGTTCGTGGCGTTGGCAACAGGGTCTTTGCCATGCCTCTCGTGTCCGATGATCCGTCTGCGGAGTTCATGGGCTACGTGAACCTAATTTCCGCGCCAGACCAAGAACTCCTTCGCAAGGCTCAGGCGCACTGCATGGCCAACGGTCATTTGCTAGAACGTTCCCCTGAACTTGCTATTCTCGACGATACTCCCGATCGCGGAAGATACGTTGCAAAGGTGCGTGCATAAAACTGGTCCCAATGGCATTGGTTTTGACATGATTCCTGTAGTGTAGCAAATCGCACGCTAAGAATCCTGGTGAATACGGCCCTGGCGCTTTGTGCGCCTTCGTGTCGGACGTTCTGCCTGAAGAAGATCTGGGCTACATGCGGAGCCTGAATGTCTCTCCCAAGGATCTCATGCAGTATCAGGAAGCGACACAGGCGAGCCTTCAGTCGCACCACATCGAGAGCTCGAAGGACGGTACGGCAGCTTTCGACCATCAGCGTCAGCAATTTGTGCGAGACAAATACACGACTGTCATCCCTAGCCATCGTCATAGACGTTCAGACGGCTCGCGAGTCAGGCGCGGGAACAATATGCCTCGCCCCATCAGCCCAAGTACGGGAGCAGGGAAGATGTTCGTCCCTTCGCCCCGGTCCATCATCCCAGGCCCTCGTCAACCTGTTCGACCGATTCCTTTCCAGATCGAAGTTAGGTTCTTTTTCCATGTAAGGCAACTTGCGCAGTAGCGTAAAACAATATAGGCTGAGCATCCTTGCAGAAAGATCGGGCACCGACCTCTATATTCCTTCCGGTCGGGTCGCAGGACGACTTTGTGTGGATGTCAGACCACGGTACGCATTGGAAGACGTACGACATCGGTTTCGACGAGATCATTCTTGTTCTGGTTGTGGATCAGTCAACCTTCCTCCCTGCCTGGGCGCCTGTTCGTCTGGGCGACTGGGTATCTGCTGTTCGTCCTGAGCCAGTAGTTGCCAAACACTATGGCATAGAACCTGCGCCTGAGCAAATGCTAGAGGTCTACCGGCATGCTTACAGAGGTTCTTGTGAGTACTGCGACAGCCTGCATGCTTGGAGTATCTTCGTTGATCACATCATACAGTAACGTCAATTGTCTAACGCAGTAAACTGGGTATCATTCCCGTGATCCGGCATTAGTCATTCATACGCTCGTACAACCTTCTTTAATGTCAACACATTCGTTTCTGTTGCCAGAAGCCGACGTTCATCAACTAAACTCATGCCTTGAGTTCATGATACTAGCAACCGTATCTGTATTGGACTGACCATTGTATCCGCTGTAGCCTTGAGCGGCGTAAGTCTGCACGCACGGCGCGACTCCCTCTCGACTCCCTCGGCTTTCATCGGCACCCGTCAACAGTGAGCTCCCGCCGCTCCAACATATGCGACACCCAAACCCATCCCTCTCGCGCCACGTATCTAGGCAGCATCTGGCGGTTTTGAAGTGCACTATGCAGCCGCGTTCCCTGACAATGTGGACAACAGTCATAGGGGATAGAAGACCCGCGGTTTCAGTACGGCTGGCTAATCGAGCGTCACCGGCAGGCGCGGGTGGCATACTCCAACCAAACCAGCCGCGCTGGTCTATGTCCTGGACTGCATGGTGATTAAATCTGGCTCTTAAGCGCCGGAGAGGTATCTAGCCGAAGACGAACTCTCATGGCGTCTGGCGCGGAACACAGCAGGACTCTGGCTGAAGTCGCCTACTCGCAGAGCCAACGTATCATGTTTCTAGCACGATGCCAACTTATATCGCTCAGCAGTCTATACGTGCTGCTTTCACTGACTGGAACAGAATTGCGGTGAACGACTTAGCTAGCGCTGTTCTATCCACATGTCCGGTAGAACTAGATAAGTATATATATATAGATTCTACTATCTGGCCCCATATGCTACCGGGTCGTCTTTCTTAAGTCCCAGTATGAAGGTAAGCGAGCGGCTCCCCATATCCACGTCAAGATACAGATCTTCATTCCTCATGGTCATGCTCCGGCGCTGCATGAAGCGCGCGTTTTGGGCATCGCGCCTCGGATTCTTGACGTGCTTTGACGCGTCGTTACGCGCGCGACCCGACCAGCGCGACCGAAAGCAACCGCTGCTAGTCTCTCACTCGCTTTCCAACCTCGAGGCACTCACTAATACTTCCACCTGATAGTCGTCACTGCGAAGGCGAAGTCCGGCGCCGGAGGACAGACGCTCGGAAACTGCCGGCCGCGCGTGAGCGCGCGAACAAGATGCCAACCCTTAGACGCGATCTCCCACCTCCTCCATCGACCGTTCCTTTCAGCGCGGGGTCTACCCAAAGATCGGTATGGGCTTGCGACCTCGCCGCGAGAGTGCGTATTGACTCATTGACTCGTTCTAGGGGCGTATGCTGGCACGGGGAGGACTCGCTGTCAGTATGTATTTGAAATATCGCAGAGCGGCGCTAACCTTCATCCACGTTGCAGTCATACGACCGCGCACAGCCGTGCACTGATGGCGGTCAAGTTCGTTTGGGCGCGACGATCCTTGCGGCGGCGCACAGGTTGGCGAATATATAAAGCTCCTGGGCGCCGACCCTCGCTGTGTCCCACCACTACGAACGATATCTGTCCCCGCGCGCAGTGAACATGGACAAGGTAAAGCGCGATCTCAGCTTATGGTGATTCTATACTGATAATCCTTCTTAGGACCTTCAGCTTGCAATCGCCCGCGCCGAGATGGAGCTCGCCGAGAAGCGACTGGCCCTTCTCATGGCCCAGGTACGTGTAGCGCTATGCTATCGACGTCGTTCGTGTCGACGAGAGTTGATGGTGATGATAATAGGGCTCTCCAATGCTGAATGCGTCTCAAATCAACGGTGTGTCGGTGTTGGGCGATGTAGAGGTGAGTTGACCTGACCTCCGCGGCCGACTGACTCGTTCGCTGAAGTGCAGTGGCTTATTCCACAGGTCGAACTCAGCCGTGACGAGGACAACGCGCCCGGTGGCGAGCCCGGCGAAGCTACGGTGCACGAAAGTCATGATACCGCGGATGTTGCGGAAGTTTCGCAAAGTACGCGGGACTCCAGCGTAGCTGATGACGTGAGGCGCTTGATGTATCTTAAACGTGTCAATCTAAACTAACACTCGTGTTCTCCAGGATGCGCAGTCCCTGCCACCTGTGGCCGTCATTCACCACGAGCAGAGGCAGGTGCTCGACAACGCTGCAGGCGGGGCGGAGACGGACGAGAAGGGTGACGATGCGCGCAGCGCAGCCGCGCCGGATGAAAACGACGAGGTGGAAAGCATGGTGCGGCACGACGACAATGACCCCGACGCCGACATGAGTCCAGTCACGGTAAAAATCGAAACCGACAAAGCGGACACGAGCTCGGCGCCGACGAACGAGGACGACGAAGAAACCATGCCCGTTGGACCGTTTATTGAACGCGTACTGCGTTGGGCCGGCGCCGTATGGTCCGACGCCGAGGCTAGGTCGGGTGTGGACTTCGAAGCAGCGGCGGACATGGTGACCGAGATGATGGGCTTCGAGATCGTTAGCATCCGCGGCGATCAGGTAGGATTATCCTTACTTGTGGTATGTGATAGCGCTGACAATGGGAGGCACAGGTCGCGCTTCGCGCGCCTCTGGAGATCAAGTCCGCCAAGCAATGGGCTTCGAGGCAACGGATGTCATCGAAGATCTACGCGACGGTCGCGGAGCCGCATTACACACAGCTCGTCGCCCAGACCTGGCGCCACATCCGTGAGCAGCCCTACGAGGACGTCAAGAAGATGAACGGCCGGGACGGACTCATTGGCGTCATACGCGCAATCTACCAAGCCAACGCCATCGACCCGAAAAAGCGCGAGGACTTCCGCGTAGTCATGCTCGACGCAGCGGATGCCTTGCGCGCTATGAGCGCGGCCATTGTGTCTGCGCGCGACGCTCAGTCGGCGCCGACAGCAGCACCGACCGCAACGGCGTCGAGTACGCTGCTCCAGGTGCTGACACAGCGCAACGAAAAGCAGGCGGGACAGGCTACGGAGGCCCTGGACCGCATGAGCAACGGGGATGTCATCGAAATCGAGAGCGATGACGAAGAACCAGTGCACGGTTCCAAGAAGGGCGGCAGCGGCGGTGGAGGTGGCAAGGCGAGGCAGGTTCCTACAAAGCGCAAGTCGACAAGCGCCGCAGGACCTTCGCCGAAGCCGAAGAAGCACAGGTTGTAAGGTATCATCTTGAGTTCGAATGTTCACGTACGAGATATTCTCCCCGAAACTGTTGCTGCGCCTAACCCATGTAAAGTACATCTTGTAGCGAAATGTTCTGATCGATGATATCCAGTCCCAAATTGCTACCGAATTATGTTTGTTGGCAGTATTAAGGCAATCGTACGGGCCCGCATCCAGCCGCAAATTTTCAGGTTCTCCTTTCGTCAGTTGTGCTTGAGCGGGCTTGATGCGTGTTGAGGGTTGTCTCAAGCACTGCGACGCGTCTTTTCTGTGGTCAACGAAGTTTATATCGCGCTGAGGGGCACATAGTAATAGACACAAGAGAAAGCAGCAGGCTGAGGGCCGCCGAGTATTCCGGCCGTAGGCACCGGGAGAAGTAGTAGCGACGCATTATGGAAGTAGGAAGTAGTGTGTGGGGTGAACAAGACGTGTACGGGGATGTACAGTGCTTAGATGATGCTGGGTGCGTCATCCGCCGCGGCGCGTCAGGCCTTAGACCCGCGTTCAAGCGCAACGTGCGCGACCGACCACAGGCTTGCATTCGCTTCTCGACCTCGAGGCATGCCCTGGGACATTATTTCGACAGCAATTACTCCACTCGTTATGGCTATACCCACCGTGCGCGGCTTACAGCACGTCTGCCCTTCTGGACGCCTGGGACCCGCGTGGTCGATGGCACAAGGACTACGCTCTCCCTCGCATCTGAAATGAAGCTGTGAGCCAGATCGTAGATGATGCCTTACCCTAGACCACTGTCAGAGACGGTTCACAGAATACATGTATTTGGAGGACGAGGTGCGGCAGGCGATTTCCTCCGACCAGGATACAGAGTAACTCGGTGCTGTTGTGTTGCAGGGTCCTCTCGTCGACGCGTTCGCGATCGGCGCGGTGTTGCTCTCAACGTCGCCAAGGAGACGCTCGAACGAGTTGCACGTCGACAGGGAGGACGCGAGTCCGCGTTCGAGACCGACGAGCCTGCGCCGACGGGCGTGCTGCCGGTGTGAACCCGAGCGTCTCTCGCTCTTCAGTGCGCGGCTGACGGCGAGCACTTGAGGGGTTACGCAATCGCATCTGTTCTTGACCGTACGAGTTGTTGCACAGCGGAAGTCAGAGACCAGGGCAAGGTCTTGAGGGGGGGTTCGAAGCCGCTCGTGCCATGCGCAGACTCCCGCTCGTAGATCTCCGGGTGCTGCCGTTCCCGCGCTGAGCATGGTTGCCAGCCGAAGCGCTCGCGCAAAGTACAGGCGGCTCTCCAAGTGACGAATGACGACGGCCTTACAGAAAGTCAGGACGTGGTTCGCCGACCGGGGGACAGGGTGTCACTCACACTCTGCGGGATCACTCTGGCCACTCTGGCCGATAGATGGGCCCGCTGAGAAGCGTATGGTACTTGAGAACGCCATTGCAGCACCTAGAATTGGGGGTTTTCAGTGTCAGTACCTATGTGCGTCTGTGTGTGTTCATGTCGTACCTTTTCCTCCGCGATCATCCGAGCTCGCTTCGACGTGAACCTGCGAGCCATTCAGAGTCGGATCGATAGCAGGATCATGTCGGTATCGTGAAGGCGCGGATCGGCAGCTCGAGGTACATAGGAAAGATCGCGTCGGCACACGCAGCCGCAGTGGTGAAGTGAGCGGCTCCCGTGTCAGAGAGGTAAGGAGGCACCGCCGTCTCTGGCCAGTCGCGTCGCAGGTGTATAACTCCCTCAGGCGTACCAGCCGCACATCCATAGGTGCGGAGACCTTGCATGCTAGAGATACCTTCAGAGTTCGAAGTGCGAGAGTCTCGGGAACCGGTGGTGGTGGTGGCAGGCAAGCCGTCGCGCTGCGACGCGAGCTGTGGCTCCAAGTAGATAAACGCGATCACGTGCCTTCATTCATCGAACACGCTTAAGCCCTCCACGGCGCCGTGCGTGTACAGCAAGTACTTGCATACCTCGGTTATATGTCACTCAGAGCGCACATCTTCACTTTCGGACGTTCGACTCGTACATGCACTAGTAGATAGATAAGTACATTGTCTTCTAAATATGATAGGCTACCCGTCCAGATTTACGGCGCTTTCACCGGGATCAATCCGTCGAAGCGCGAGATACCACAACAATCACAGGCTCAGCACCGTCATCAAAAGTACTCATCATATACAGAGTACAACGAGCTGTACGACCTCTTTGATCGCGTAAGGCATCCTCGGAGGTGGCGTGCATGTCGGGAAAGGGTAGCCAGGCATTCTACGGAAAGGGACGTCACTGGCATATCGCATCGCACGGGTGATCCGGGCCGTTCACGTACATGCGCTGTTCTCCGCCTTGTGCAGCTGAGCGCCGGGGCGTTTGAACTTTGAAGAGGTGCTCCAGCCGACAGTCTTGCTCGAAACGTCCCTATCAAGCCAAGCGCGCAGGCAGCCCGCGGTTTGAGAGACCAGGAGACGATGGTATGATACGGAGAGTGGCGAGAGCGTCGCGCATGTATGTATCGAGTTCGCCTGCCAAGTATGCGAGATTTGGGATCTGAAACGTGCAGCTGCGCGCGAAGACGAAAACGAGGGACTGTAGGCGACAGCCGAGTCCGTTGTACCCTTCGGACGTCATCGAGATGCGGAGGGAGGGTTCCGAACGTCGGTGATGCCATCGAACCGACCGACACTTGCCCGTCGCTGCGTCCGTGTCCTCGTACCCAGCCGGAGTGAAGACGGCTCCGGCGTATCAGACGAGAACGCCGCCGCGGCCACTGCCGCCGTCGCTGCCGCCGCCGCTTCCTCCGTCCTCCTCTGTCGTTGGTCTCTGGTACTCTGTCGATCTGGCATCGCCACCTTGAAGAGCAACGAGAGCAATAGTTTCTGAGCGAGTAAGCAGGAGGCCTCTCAGGTAGAACTGCGAGGCTTGTGGGCGCGCGGTGCAGGGATAGGCGCCGTGTTGGCGGGCGAAGCCCAAGCCCGGCAGTTGCCGATCAGCTGGCTTCTGCCGCGTTCTCGACTCGAGCTCATCTCTTCCACGACGTCCACTAGGACGGCCGATTACCTGTCTTGCTTCCCATCTGCAGATAGTGTCTCGAGAATGCGCACCTTCAAGTAGGTAGACGCAGACGCGCTGTGTATCGGTACCAACTTTCTCGTCCACCCTGCGCTCATTACCTATTCGGCCTACAATGCTTACCCCCTGTGGCGATTCGCCGCGACGGATATTAACGCTGGAATCACCAAGATCAGACAGCGCACGCGAATGGAAGGTGCTTTATGTACACATCGTGTACAATGATTTCGCTTGCAGCGATACTTCCGGGGCGCATCGTGTAACCTGAGCACCGCTCGTAGTTCGCCCCTAGGTTTGCCAGGTAACACAGACCTTTCGGTTGTTGGACCATCTGCGCGACGCGATCCCTTTTTCCCATCCGCTACCAACTCTGTTCTATGCTGACTTCTCGGCGAGAAATCATTGTAGCTGCTGTGGATCCGCCGCCATGTCGGTAGCGCATCCAACTTCATTTAGCCGTCTTTGCAGGCCCTCACTGTGTACGTTCACCCCTCACCGCTACTCGCGCTCTCCACTTCCACTTCCGGCTCTGACTCTTTCTTTCTTCAAATGGGTGAGTGCTACCGCTTCGATCCTCTGGCAGGACCATAACGCTTTCGCAGGAATAAGACTCAAGTTTCTACGCCGGGGCGAGCGTGACGACCTTCCGTCCGAACAGGACGTGCTCGCAAACCTCATTACGCCGTTTCAGGGCCTGCTTGACCCCGTTTCCGCTCCCGCTCCCGCCGCCAATCCGCCTCTCGCCAACAATCCAACTTACTCCGCCATCCCACCTCCCATCGCCAACCCCATCCCTGCCGCCGCATCCGGCCTTGCAGGCCCTCATGAGCTACCTCATATGGGGAGGGGTGACTTCAGCACAGGCTCACGTCCCAACACGCCTCCCCCGGTGTACGAGGAGACGGCCCCGCCGTCCTATGAGGACAGTGTCCGCCGGCCACAGCGTTCCTCCCACCGCGCCCCTGGCCCGCCAAGCGCGCCGGTCGCAGCGACCGCGCCCCTTCCGCCGCCTCTGAGGCTGCACTCCGTGCTTCCCGCACGGTCCACGGCAACGCCGTCATCACGCCCTCTCCCTTCATGTCCACCCGCTGCGAGTCCTGAAGATCCGGCGCCGCGTCCGCCCTCACCCCGGTCCTCGTCCCCACTACCATCCACGCGCTCGCCATTGTCCTCATCGCTTTCTCCGCGCTCGTCTCTGCTTCGTCGGCCCCATATCCGTCGGCTTCCAATGCCGCAACCTTTGCCATAGGATGGCCGCGACACTGTGTGGCTTTGGAGGTGGTGGGGAGGATATAACGCGTACTCTATAATGTTCTTGAACACATCTTACGCAGTAGCCGACGGGTCGGCGCTCTTTCTGGTTCGAGCACTGTCATAACCCTGTATTTATTCATTCTTTGAACTTATCCATCAGCATTGATCGCGTCGTGACTACGTATGCATATCCCCAGCGTCGATTCGCTGAGATAGCGCAACAGAGGATGACTAAGCGCCGATGAGAGGCTTGCCTGGACTACGACAAGTTGTCGCTACTCAAGGGGCGTCTGCCGTATACGGCGATCATGTCACGCTCGCGACTTGTCACAAGTCGCGTCTGACTGGCTTGGTTCTGGACCTCCTCGACCGACTTTATTTCCTTACGCGCCAATCGCGCGCCTGTCGGGAACCCGATCTCGGCACCGTGTGGGGTTTAACGATGATGGTACTGTGCGAGACGTTGTCCATTGTCATGAGGGCATTGACTGACACATACACTCAGTGCGCTCTCAACCCTAATCCCGGTCACGTCGGGCCGCATCTTCTCGACATTCCAAAGCATCCCATCCTACTGTATACCTCTGCCTAGCATGCTCCAGCACCGTATGACCTTGCATCTCACTCTACTGTATGTCTCTACCTAGCATACCACCTCATATCCCTGCACTGTATTCCGATCGTCATACCCTGTGTCTACAGAGCGCAGCTAGGACAATACACCGTTTTCATCTGCAGCCTGGCCGCCTCCGTGCTCACTACCTATGTACTCCTAGCACAGGTCTCTTCAAGGCCAGCGCGCCTTAGCGCAGGGTGGCCAGCTCTGGTACGGAGAGTGGTGATGCCTCGCAGGACGATCTCTGGTCCTTTTGCCCGAGTCA